GTCTTGATATGAAATTCCTCCAAATCAAAATTAAGCCTCCCAAAAGTCTCATAAAGTCCTAAAACTCCTTCCATCCCGCACCCTCCAACATAGCCCAACACCAACTCGAGCCCCCAGTTGGTCTAGCATACATATAGGACCAATTCCAGAGAAAATTGGAGTAAGGAGTAGCTGCACTACCTCAAGATGATCCTTTCCATCAAGCCCAATTGAGACCTCACCTCTTGAGATAAGGTAATGGCTCGAATTCCTCATTTTTCCATTTGGTTTGGTCCTTCGTGAAAAAAATGAACAATGCATGCCCACTTATCTATATGGATAGGTTTGTTTCACTTAGATAAAGCAATATGATTAGTCATAGAGAGATTTCATTAAGTGTAGCATGTGATCTTGTGGTAGATAAGTTAGGGTGCATTAAGGTCGATGCTAGAGAGTCGTCATATTCGTATTATTTGAAATCAACAATCGTGATCTAGCCGAGCGGTCAAACCGCGAAAGATCAACACTTCAGATCCCCGCCAACGAGGCAGCACATGTGGAGAGCGCAGCCAATGGCGCAGTGCCGCGCGGATGTTCGACGACTCTAAGGTTTGACGTGGCACCTTGTGAATGAGTAGGAAAATCCTTTTTTTGAATTAAATAGATACGAAAAATCCATTTAAAATTTAAAATTCATATCTTAACAAAACAAAATAAAAATACCCTTAAACTCAGCAAACAAAGGAGAAGATAATGAAAATAAAAATTAAATTAATTAAATTTTATTTAATTTTGAATTCCTAAATAAAAGTCCAAAAATTATAAAAATTTGAGGGATTATTCCCTCTGCCTTTAGGAATCTCCATTTATTTTTTCAATGACAAATGACTTCCCTAACACCAAAATCCCTAATTTTCTATCAAAATTATAATTATTTTGAAAAATACTTGCAAAAGATAAAATACTGATTAAAAATTTTAAATATAAATGGAAATTAGTTGGGAAAATTAATACATAAATTTTTCATAATTAATTGAGCATCTTCAAACTCTGAATTTAAGAGATAAAAGTAACATAAGAAGGGAAAATTGTTAAGTTTCAAATTTTGCATGATTATCTCTTTTGTCTCCTAAAATTCAATTAAAACAGATGATTTTACTTAGCAATCCTATTCTTAGGACCTAATTGAGTCATTAAACATGATCAAAATGACTTAATTTCATAATTAAGAGATTGAGTCATTAAACATGATCAAAATGACTTAATTTCATAATTACTCTTAATTATGAAATTACCTACATTTAAACTTGAAGTAAACAACCTTGATTCATCGAATTCTTCCTAAGAAATATTTAGGAGAAAAATTAATGGACTAAATAGTCTTAACATACATCAAATCATTAACTCTTCAAAAAAATATTTAAGGATATTAATGATTTATATTTGCATCAATTCATTTAATTCTTCTTTAAAATTTTTTAAGGAGATTAGTGAATTAAATAACTTTAAATTAAAAAAAAAACATTAACTCATTAACTTTCCTTTGAAAAATAAAAAGTTAGTGAGTTAAACAAACACCAAATTTTTTGAAATCTTAAGACACTAATGTCTTCTTTAAGAATTCTTGAGAAGATCAATAACTTCAAAGCATTAATTCATAAAATAATGGATGACTTTAAAACATTAATATCTTCCTTAAAATATTTAAGAAGGTCAAACAGACTAAACAATCTTAAAATGAGACATTGATCCATTAGTCTCTTCCTAAGAATGTTTAGGAAGAAGAGTAATGAGTTATAAGAAAACACTAAATCATTGGTTCCCCTTTAAGAACGATCAAGAGATTAATGAATTCTAAATGTTAACATACTAAACCTTTTTTTAAGAGTGAATATGAGAACTTGCAAACTAAATTTACCTCAGGATGATCATAAAACACTTAAAATAAACTCATAACCACATCAAACATGAAACTACTTAAATTAACTCCTTGAACATAGAGAACTACACTCAAGGTGTCCCCAAATCAAGAGTAAACTACCAAAAAATATAAAAGACTTTAACAACAAAAGTTTTTAAATCACTAAAACTTAGGAGTATTCACGTCTATAAACTAATAAGTCAAGGCGTGTTTGATTTCTCTCAAGAGAATAAAGGCACAGTTGACTTAAAATAATACAGAATAACTCAACCCAGGAGCAAAGTGGGTTAAATGCAAAATTTGGAAATTGCAAAAGCATTCTCTAAAATAAATTTACCTCATTTAAAAGACACTATAAAAATCAATAAGACTTAAACTTAAAGCCTAAAGCTAACAACCTTGGTTTGTGAAGGAGGTCTGGATGAGACAACCCATATTTGCTAACAAAGAGCCTTTCGGTCACTTATGACCAATAAAACCACAATCCCTAACGATCTCGGAATGACGAAGCCATGGGATCTTGACCAGGTTGTCCTAAAAATAAAATAGTAAAAGTTATATAAAAAATTTAATCAACTATGAAGTCTTAAGCAGCTTAAAATTTTCAACCCTTAAAATTGAAAAAAGACATTAAAACTTAAATGAAACCCAAATGAACAAAGATCACCGAATATAACTTTAACCTTGCTACCTGGATCTACGAATACCTCTCGGACAATGCAACTCAAGATTGTTGATAAGAATCTTCTGGTCAGAGTAGGCTTGACCGTCTATTCGGGCTAAGTAGATCAGAGAACCCGAGACACCGAGATAACACAAAGCCATGGGTATCTTAACCGAGTTGTCTTAAATAAAATAAGATAAAATTAACTCATTAATTACTAGATAGACATAGTGTTTTTTTTACATTAAATTGTGATAAAACTTTATAACTTTGTTTTGTAGGTCGTCAAGAAGAACTACTATGATAGATTTAATTTACATGTTCTTAGGATGTGCTGAATTTGTTTTGCATAGTTGTTATAATTAAAATAACATACTGTAGGAGCCTAGGATCAACCTTTCTATATGTCATTCCTTTAATAGAATTAAAAAGTGTTATGGTCGATCGATTATTAACATCCAAACTATCCAAAAGAAGATGAAACAAGATGCAAATAATTGACCTCAACAAACCATCAACGACACTTCAGATGATGTTAGTCGATGAGTCTGATATAGGTCTAGTGTTCTTCGCATTGTTAGTTTGTCTATATTTTTTGATAGGTTTGCCAACTTTATAGGCAGATATTTACATTTGTGCTTTTTGCCTGGAATACCGGTAGGCTCATCTAAGGATTAAAATTTTTAGTCCAACCAAATAAATAACTTCAACTTGATTTTTCAAAACAAAACTCATAGCCAAAACTAAATTGCACAAATTATTGCATTCACAATTATAAAATTAACATGAACCTAAAACAACCTTGATTAATAACAAATAAAATTGAGTAGAAACCCTTTTTCGAGTTAGGAATATGAATGGAAACATGCTTTGTAGACATATGCATAACATATTACTTCTACTCCTTGACTTTCAGGACCTAACCCATTGTACGAAAATGAATGGTTTGACCCATGAAAATCAGTACCTTATAGAGTGAGTTCTGCTTATGCATATCAATTAGCCTTTAGTCTACCAAACAGTCTGCTTCAACACACTCAACACTAACCAATACAATAAAACACTTGAGTGTAGTGAGACAATATTTAAATTTGAAATATCAAAATATATTTGTATTAGTCTTAGGACATTATGCATATCATACATACTTAAGCAGTTTGATTTATGATTAATCCATAAGGCCTACAACTCATAAATAAATAATAGCCTATCTTATCTAGCATCCATTGAGATTGGCCATGCATGGTTTTTTTAAACACAATTAGATGGCTTAGATGGCCACCCTTTTCCGGCAAAGTTGCAAGTTTATTGCACTCCATGTTTCTCTTTCCTTAGATTAGAGTCCCAAGGTTTTATTTCTTTCAGTGAAAATTCACCATAGGATTTTGAGGTTGTCTGTTTAGTTATGACGTAAATACTCACTTAAACTTTTGCATGATTGTATGTCATGCAATTTAAATCATAAAATTATAATAAAACAACATGAAGAAAAATTTTCTTCAAAAACAATAAAGCTAAACAATAGGTAGTAGAGATGTCACTGGGCTGCTTAGTATCTTCGACATCTCTTACCTTTTTCTTCATTTAGGTTCCAATAATAATTGTTCAATTTTCTCTAAACCCTTCCCCATTTGGAAATCCAATGACTAATCGCGGAAACTTAAACTTAAGAAATTTTTTTAGGACGAAACCACAACCTTAATCAAGAGTTTTCTTAAGTAACTTTGACTGCTTAAGATGTAATTAATTATAAGGGTTTGCACTTCCAAGAACTTGAAGATTCCACATTTAATCTAAACCTTATCTAATCTTCAAATTGGATAGGGGAAAAATTTGTCAGTTTAAACATGGGGCAGTGCAAATATCTAACATTCCTTAATTTAAATAATCGAACACATCGTAAAGTCATACTTTTATCTTTCGGGATGGTCTAAGCTTCCATTTGATTACTAAATCTTCGAACCTGCATGACATTCAAAGCACCGTATGAAAAACCAAACCACACTCTTGTTATTAAAATTCATGACAATTTTTATAAATTCTTATATATTTTTATGTTTTTATGTCATTTTTAGTGCCATTAAAAATATAAATGAGCATGCCGTATATTGAACATCACATTATAATATCATATCATTAAAACTACAAAAAATTAGAATAATTATACCAATTAATTAAACACAAAATATACTCATAAATAATAACTATATTTCATTTATTTCTAAAATAATAAACTAATTTTAAAATAAAGCATAAAAAGCATAGAAGATCCTGACCTAATTATCTATCATAAACTCATAATCATATATTAATATATTAAAATAGTTCTATATAATTATTCATTTATTAAACTCATTTTTAATGACTAACATTTCCTTAAAAATTAACTTATCAGAACTCTGTTATTTATTTATCATAATTTTATTTCTGTAATAGGAGAGTTTCAATTACAGATCTACGGCTCAGCTTCTTCATTTCAGGAAAATTCTCATAATGAGAGGTAGTATATATATTTGGATCATTAATTCAGTTATTTTTAAATTTTAAATAAATATTTTATTATTTAATTAATATGTATAGCAGCAGCCACCCTCTTATTCCTTCTTCTTCTTCGTTCTGTAATAGGAAGGTTTTAAGCACAGATCTACGGCTTGGATTGAGATCTTCAGCTTCTTCATTTCAGGAAAATTCTCACTATGAAAGGTAGTTAGGGCTGTCAAAACGGTTCGTTGTTAGCGAACAGCTCGTGTTCGGTTGTTTCGCTAAGTTAACGAGCCGAACACGAACAATATGAACAAATATTTGTTCGTTCGTGTTCGGCTCGTTTTGGCTCGAAATACTACTAATCAATTATATATATATATCTTTGATGAGTAGCACTTTTTAAAAATTTAATTGACTACAAGGCTACAAAAATTTATAATCAATTAAAATTGTTAATGATGAAAATAGAATAAAAGCTATTAAATCAAGATGGCCATCAAAGCCTGATAAGAACACTTCAACAAATGTTCAGAACCACAATTATCAGTAAGATTAATTTCATTTTTAACCTTAATTAATTAATTTTGGGTGATTCTTTTTCTTCCACCAGATTGTGACTTTCATTGTTGGAAATTGGGAAATTTACATAAATAGCATCATTATTTCTATGTATTTACATAAACACTATTACATGCCCTCCATCTCAAATCAGCAACTTAGATGGCTAAATTACGCAAACCCCAAATTCTTGTGTTAGCTACTCATAGATCGGAGTCTCTCGGTTGCAATCTATTCCACCATATCTATATCCTATAATCTCAACCTAGAATCCACTAAGAAAATATGACAAACCCTTCAATATCGGTTGCAGTCCACCAACCGATCCCCCCGGTTATCCAACTCCGAAATGAACTCCACCATATTTCTATGAAGAACAGCACCATGTCCCCATAAGTCTTGTTTATCAAATCCCTTGTCGACAAAATAGTGACTCCCGGAGGTCATATCGACCACGAAGACATCATCCTCCACATTCTCAATCGTTTACCCCCCACATTACCAGTCCTTCAAAACCCATCATACGCATTAGATTAGAATCGATCAAGCTGAATGATCAATATTTCAGGCTCTGCAATGAGGAGATTAACATCTCAGCTAAAAGTGCCTAAGAAACTAATGCTCCTCCAGTCGCCATGTTCAACCCCCAAGGAAGACTCAATGGCTCCAGAGGCCGCGACCGGCGCCAGTATAATGTTAGGGGGAACAACAACACATCAACTCTAACCAGGGGAGGTCACAACCTCAACACTATTTCCAATTGCCCGATTTGTCAAATTTATGACAAATATGGAAATACCACAATACAAAACTGGTATAAAACTAGTTTTAGCTGATACCCCTCCACCAAATCTGATACCACACTACAGACCTCCACCGAACCTTGCTCAGATGACTGGTTACTTGGCTCCAGTGCCACTAATCATCTCACTTCCAATTATGATCACTTACAACATGCTAAACCATACAACAATCTAGATTTATTTTTTACTGGAGACGGCTCCAACCTCCCTATCACCCACACTGGTCAAGGCTTCCTACCTACACCTTAAAGTAAGCTCCATCTCTCCAATCTCCTTCAATCTCCCTTCATATATCATGATTTTCTTTCTCTTCATAAATTAGTCTTCGACACTAATTGTAACATCTTCTCTACTCCATATGATTTTGTCAACAATGGCCGGAAAATAAACTAAATCCTCCTCCAAGGCCCTAGCAAGAACAGTCTCTATCACATCTCTGCTTTGGTTGCTATCCACTGATTCCCAACACCTGTCCAACTTTGGCATCGAAAGCTCGGGCATCCTCATCACGCCACCACAAAATTCATCTCTAGAATGAGTACTACTATACATAGCCCTCTTTCTACCTTTTCTTGTAATGAATGAAACTCTTCCAAGGGTCATTGATAGTCGTTTTATATTTCAGCTTCTGAGTCAAAATATTATTTTGATCTTGTTCACTTTGTTTTGGGTCCAACACTCACTTTTTTAATACAAGGATATAAATATTATCTTCTATTTTTTAATGACTACTCCTGGTATACATGGGTGTTTCCTATGTTCACTAAATCTACGACAACTATTTAATTTATCACATTCCACAAAATGGTCTAAACTCAGTATAATACGAACATTAAAGTTCTAAAATCTGACGACAGCGGTGAATATACATCCCATACCTTTCACATTTATCTTAACTTCTTCGGTATCATTCACCAATTTAGTTGCCCCTATACACCATAGTAAATCGGGCTAGTTGAACGGAAACACTGCTACCTCATCAAAATGACAAGAACTCTCCTCATATCTCACCTTCCTTGCAAATTCTGGACAGCTTCCCTCTTGGTTGCAGCCTATCTCATAAATTGCTTGCCATCTAAAACCCACGAACTTATTTACCATACACCACCCATCTATACACATCTTCGCACCTTCAGATGTCCTTGCTTTCCTTAGCAAAAACCACAAGACACACATAATCTTACACCTCTATCCTTACCATGCATCTTCACAGGCTACCCACCACATCATAAGGGTTACCACTGCTAAAACTCTCAAACAGATCAACTCATTATTTCTAGACATGTGGTGTTCAATGAATTTATATTTCCCTATCATACCCCACCACCTTCACCTGCTACCTCCCTCACTTACACCCCACCGAGCCTTCTAACAACAACATTCATACAACCCACAGAAGCAGCCAGCACTTCCTCCTCTCCCAACAACCGGCATCCCATATCATCAACCATTTCCAACAGCATCTCCCAAACTACCCAATCACTAATCTCATCTTACCTCCCCCAACAACCAATGAAAACTCGCTTCCATACCGGCTCACTTAGACCAAAGCAATTTCTAAATCTCCAAACACCCACCTCTCCTACGCCTAACCGCACAATTTACAATCAGATCGTCAAACATCCTCATTGACGCAAAGCCATGTCCTCAGAATTTGAAGCACTGCAATGTCAAGAAACTTGAGTCCTTATTGATCCATCTCCTCATGCTAATATCATCGACTACAAATGAATATATCACACCAGATCTCCTGAAGATGGAACAGTTGTCAATTTCAAGGCAAGATTGGTCGCACTGGGTTTCAAGCAATAGTTTGACATCCAATATATTGAGACCTTCAGTCCTGTCACCAAAATGCGCACCAACTGAATGCTCCTCATAGTTCCAACTGGATGTCTCTAACACATTTTTTCATGATTACTTGGATGAAACTACATAAATGAATCAACTCCAAGCTTTCAAGACACCCAATACCCAAATCGGGTGTGCATTCTCAAAAAAAGCAATCTATGGTCTTAAAGAAACCCAAACAAGTGGTACTCAACTGTCATCACGTACCTACATACCAAAGTCTTTCAACTCAGCACAGCCAACCCTCACTCCTCATCTAAAACCACAACCAAACCACGACCTACTTAATTTTCTACGCGGATGATATCCTCATTAGAGGTAATGATCCATCTACTATCACTAGCCACATCCACAACCTCAAAGATAAATTTCAAATCAAGGTGCTAGGTACCATTAAAACATCTCTTGGCATTACTATCCACCAATAACCACACGACTACCTCCTAAGCCAATCATCCTACATCTTCTCCCTCTTACAACAACTCAGCATGTCAGTCAATACCCTCTTCCGCACAAACTTCAATCTCACCAAAACTCCATACATGAGTTCCACATCATTACACAAATGCACCGTTCCCTCATATATCACTTATAGCTGATCAAGCGTCTACTACGGTACCTCAAAGTGGCTATCACCTTCGGTCTCTTAATCACCAATGGTGACCAACAACATTGCACTTATTCTAACTCTGACTGGGTTGGAGACTCATAGTACAAGCACCCTACCATCCGCTTCTGCTTCTTTCTCGACAGCACCCTCATCTGTTGGATAGTCCAAAAGAAAAAGATAGTGACCCACTCCTTCACAAAAGTTGAATATTGTTCTCTTGCTGCAATCACACTAGATGTCTTATGGATTCACCGACTGTTTCATGAGTTCCATATCTCTCCAAATAACCTTACTCCCATCTTCTGCGAAAACAGTTCAGCCATCGTAATCGCTCACAATCCAATCTTCCACGCCCACACAAAACACATTGAGATTGACTACCACTTCATTCCAGACGCATTGTATAGGGGGCCATTCAAATTCTGCACAACAGATCATTCGATCAAGTGGTGGCCATCATGTTCACGAAGAGTCATATGACATCTACGTTAAACACTCTTAGAGTCAAGTTAGCTCAATATCATTTCATCTGATAGTCAACTTGAGGAAAGATAACAAACCAACTCTATTAGGCAGCAAATGGAATTTCCTCTCCACTCTCTCTGTCAACCACTAAGTGTGTTAGGACCACTTTACTTTCTAGAAGACTCAACAGCTCTATATGTAAAACCATACTCATGTAATAGTTTTGTTTTACTTAATACCATTTCATTGTTTATTGGGAGAGGCAGGGCATGCTGGTTTTCCTTACTGCAGCTCTCATGGAGCTGCTCAATACCTGGGGTTTCGCCACTCCAACACTTTGGTTTTATGAACTAAAGCATGAAAATATGTTTTTCACATCTACAAGTTTAGACATAGTGAAGTGATGTTAATGAATTGAGGGCTATGCATGTAAATATAAAAGTTTAGATGCTAGATATGTAAATGTGTAAATATGTAAGAATTGTGTGGTATATATGTAAATGCCCCAAAAGTCTTATTGATAGTGCATGGTCTCAATATCAATTGTTAGCATTTTTCTCTAGAATATTTGACTCTAGTAAGAGTCTGACAACAAATAATAGGCATCGTCATTAGTTAGCATTTTTCTCTAGAATATTTGACTCTAGTAAAAGTTTGACAACAAATAATAGGCATCATCATATAATCATCATATGTCATTAAATCAAAAGAAAACTTATTAATAGGCATCATCATATAATCAAAAGTATGGCTAAGAATATTTCTCTTACTTATTAGAAGGAAAAGAAAATAAGGAAACTAAACTTAATAATCAACATTCTAAGACAATAACCAAAAGTATGGCTAAGAATATTTCTCTTACTTATTACAAGGAAGAGAAAATAAGGAAACTAAATTTAATAATCAACATTCTAAGACAATAATTTAAAAGGACTA